TGACTTGTTCTCTCCTGTGGTAGAACTTTGGGTTGAAATCCTAAAACCAGCTACCCTGGGATAAGTACCAGAGAGCCTGGGCTCATGCTGACCTACATCAAGTTTTCTGTTGGCTTAGTAAGTGCATTTTCTGCAGTTTTGTCTCTAGAAGTATCTCATTAAAATGAGATGTAAATCACCAAGATAAATGCCTGACTAAATGGATAAGCTTCTCATACACACCAGAATTACATTGGAATTGAATTTCTCCCTTCACTGGCAGGTTATGACTTACCCTGTAGTTATAATTCACATTCTGGTCTTGCAAAGTTTATGAACCTGCTTATGGACTCACTAGCAAATGTGTCTGTAAATGTGTTTACCATGTAATACCCCAAAAAGCCATACCTTCACCTTAATGTCACTGTGCATGAAGTCTCTATTAGAGACCAGGCTGACCTGTGAGAAGAGATACAAATCAAATATAAATGAGACTTTCTGTGCCCAGAAAAACTGCTATCTTAGTTTGCTCTGAGTTTTGTTCCTCTTGCCAGCAGTACTGCTCCCTAAAGGCTGCGACAGCTCCAGAGAGAGCTGCCCCTCACTGTCCGGGCACAAATCCTCTCCCCTAGCATGAGCAGTTTGGGGTTGGAGGCTTCAGGGAGAGCATGAGTCTGCCCTGCAAGTTCCCACGTTGGCCTCTAAGTGCTCTATTGCCATATGGCAGCATCGCTCACCATACAATGATTTCTGCCATTATTCTGGCAAATTATGTGAGACTCACATAATTTTTGAGAATCAGCATTTGCGTTCGCCAACTTTTCAAGGTAAAGAAGAGTCATGAAGGACCGAGGGTGTTTGTGGCTGCAGTGAGAACATACTGCTTGGTCGCTGTATTCAAAGGTCTCAGGCTCTTCCCTTGCTTCTTCGCTCCCGTCTTGCCCAACACGTACAATTTAGGCGATTTCCCGAGGAACACGGGAATCCCTGTGGAACAGGCATAAAGGAACACCAGGTCTGGTTGCTTGGAGCAGGGCATAGCGCCCTGCCTTGATTTCCTTTACTAAACAGGAAAATTTGACTCCGACTTTCCACCACCTCCCAGAACCGCATGCCCGCGCAGATGGATAAACACGCACACGATTACAGCTCAGAGCTTCCCATACACACGCGCTCTATCCAGCCATCCAGGATTTTCTTTGTAAAAGTCACTCTTTCTAAAATAACACAAAATGAATTGTTTGCCCTCACCTTCCTTTTTTCCTAGTATGTGTTTAAAAAAAAAAAAAAGTTTCCTAATTGCTATTGCAGAAGAGACTTGATTTACATTTTCCACCATGCAGCACCCACACAGTTAGACCTTGCTCACCTCAGCGACAAGAACACACGTGCTCACTTTCTGAGTCTATTAGCACACAGCAGCTAATCCTTCCCTTTACAGCATATTAATGGCTGTTTGCCTTTCTGCATCATTTGCATCTTCCCTCTATTCCCAGGGGTGGTTAAGTGCTGATGCTAAATAAACATAGCGCCTACAGCTATGGTTCCTTGCTTTAAAAAGCCCAAAAGAGGGAACGGAATTAGAAAAAAAAATAATAAAAAATGAAAGCCTGTTTTGCATGGTTTCCAACCCTTGGATCCTAATCCAAACCTCCTGCAATGTAGAAAGCAGAAGAAATGCACACCACAGGTATCCTGGCTGCCCGAATCAAGGGTGATGTTCAATGGTGCCTTGCTCAGAAGCAGGCCTAGGACACTGCCAACAGTTCCCTGTATTCAAACAGGTTTCTAGCACAAAGAGCAGGTCTAGCACCCAGTTACCTTTATGATACCCATCCATTTTCCAAGAAAAGCCATCTAAAGCCTTCTGGTGATCAAGGGCACTCCAAGATAGGAAAACTGGCTCTTTTTTGCCTCCCATCATCTGGTTATTCTGATTGCTAAAAGCCATCTGATTTAAACCATGCTGCATCTGAGATGGCCCCTAGTCCTTTGCCCAAACAACTCCTCAGTTACACCAACAGGACCATTAAAATTGGTCATTCCTGTCCTTCTCCTCGGCAGAGAGAGGAAAGGGCTGTAGCAGCAGCCTTCGGGCTACGAAGGAGCTGTGCTGGGACCATTTGCCAGGCAGATGGCAAATCTCTGTCCCACCTTGAGCACACCTGGCCCACAGATCTCATTAATTTCCCAGAGAGAAACCCCAGTCAGCTGTTTTTCTCCACGAAACATTCACATAGCTGAAAGCTTTGGTGGTTTCGCAGTGCCAGATCGCTCATAGCAAGGAGGCTCCGTGGCCACCCACATTATACTCAAATGCACAAAGGAGCCAAGAACTTTTGCATAAACAACTCTGCAATTTGCTGAGATGCTGCTGTATTTCTGCATGACAAGTTCATTACTGTTTGGCCTCAGCTTATGCTGATGTGCAGAGAAAAAGGAAAGAGAGAGAGTCTTCACAGTTACATTAATTTTGTTTTATTTAATAAAAAACAGTATCAGATTAAAAATACAAACACTTTGGGTGATTATCCAGCGTTTTCCCCTGTGTGCCTTGAAGAGCTCAAACCAACCAAGGATTGGGAAAAAAAACAAAACAAAACAAAAATAACACCAATTTTGGCCGGAGCTGTAAAATAATGTTGCACCAATTAAATTACACCAAATATATTATTATACCTTTGAAATGGCTTTCAGACCAATAAATAAAAAAGACAAATTCAAATAAAAAAGTCAACTTTGTATTACAAAAAAATTAAATAAAAATCACAACACTAATAATAACAATGTGCAGTCAAGTTTTTTTTTTTTCTTCTCTTCTAGGAATGATAACATGCTGGTAAACATGTAACATGCCAGTAACATGCCAGTAAATCCCTACGTAATATTTCCAGTTTGGCAGCAAGCAGTTCACTCATTCATTCACATTTGAACACAAGGAAGCAGGCCTGGGCAAAAGCCTAGGTAGGGATGAGCCTTCAGAGTGTTTCCCAGTTCCCTGCAACAGCCGGTTGAGTTCCCTTCATCTTGAAACCTATAACATCCATTCAAGGTTTAGCCCCAGATCTGCAAGGAAGGTGTCAATCAGTGTGAACTGGAAACTGCGTCAAGTTGTTTGCAATGCAGCACAGCAATCTTCTTAACTGAATACACTGCAAAACAGGGTATTGCTTCCAGGTGGGCTAGAAGAGCACGTAAAGGCCCTGTGAGAAGACAGGACACGTGAGCATCACAGAAGGGTGGACAGAGAAATGACCTGAAGTTGCCCTTCCCAAGCAAATGAACAGTGAGCCAAATTTCACTTGCCTGCCTGAGAGCACATCTCTCACAGGCTTCATGGATACTGATGCCACCTACTCCAGGGCCAAATTTGGTTCAGAGTAATGAGGAAAGGCTCTCCGTAGAGTCAGATGAGCTGACGGAGGAAACTGCAGTTCGTTCCTCTTTACACTGGACTTTCCAGTCAATTTTCAGGAGCAACTGGCATACTTAGGTACCATGACACACCAAGTAAGAAACCTGCAAGTTGGGAAACAAGAAGCGAAAGCGCTCTCTGCCCCAGCCTTCAGTCATCTATGAGTTATTCTTGATTCTCCAAGAATTCCCAACGGAACTCAATTCCCATTCTTCATGATCTCCAGGATTTTGGACACAGAGGGCCAAATTCTGCTTTTTATTGTAGTTACAAGGTTGGAATGAGAACCGAGTTTGCCGCATGCTCCCGTGTTCCAGGTGTGTGTGCACGCACCTACTTCCGAGCTGCCGGGCTCTGCCACAGCAGGGCATCTCCAAGAAAGCCAAGGGCTGTGTGCTCAGTACATGAGACTGAAATGGGCCTTGAGATTCCAGTTTGCCCAGGCCTGTCAAACGCACAGTGCCTCTCTAACACAGGCTTACATTCAGGTAATCCAGTAGACCCATGTGGTACCTTTATGGGAGTTGAAGCCTTGAGTCTAGACATTGATATGTCTCAGAATGCACATACACAAACACATATCCTTCTCTTTTTTTTTTCAAATTGATATTATCACATATGCAGTACCAGCTACACTGTAAATAGAGGCCTGCATTTTTACACTAACCCTGTAATCAAATCTACTATTATCATTTCATCATTCAATTCTTTCTGCTCCATTACTACCTACCTAGAAACAACTTACTTCATTTGGAGAAAGGCACATTCCCACCAACTTTCTGACCTCTATCCACTTCCTACATGCTACAACCTTTTCCTTAGCTAACTTTCTGATAGCAAACTACCTGTCACCTTCAAACACTACAAACTAATAGCAAGGTGGCATCATTTTCTGACAGTGACTGAACTCTAGATTGCAAGATTAGTTTAACCCTTAAGACAGTCTGTTAGATCTACCTTTCTCTGGGCATTCATGGGGTGGCTGGCAATTTGGAAAAAGTCACAAGTTAAACATACAGATTGAAATGCTTTTAAAAGTTTTTTATAACATCCATGTCCTTTCCCTTCCCATTATCATTTCTGTGATTGCATTTCTGGTTGCTAGGAATACTAGTCGGAAAAGATTTGAGGGCCTCCTGCTCAGTTACAAGCAGTGCCTGTGGGAAGAACCAAATATGAATGCCTAGCCCCACTGCCGTCCCTGTACATCACACAAGGCTGCACTGAGGTGATCCTCAAATTGTCTGTCCCAGAATGGGTTCAGAGGCTCTCAGGTCTTCCTGCTAGAAGACCATCTCACCGTGGTGATCATCTAGCCTCGTCTCCTGCATACCACATACCAAAGATTCTCAGTGTGCAATTTCTGTGCCCCAGATGAGTAACTTAATGAGGAAACAAAGGCTCTCTTTCTAAAAGACATGAATTTTCAAAATTGACTTGAAGAATTCAGCTCATCTCTTGATAGAACTGATCTACCTCTTGATACAACTGATCTAATATTAATCATGAACTACTCAAAATGTTTGTGCCTCACTTCCAGTTTGAATTTTATCTAACTTGACTTAGATGTCAATGCTTCTGCTTGCTAGATCCTGACATTCTTTCATCACATTTAAAAGACCACAGGTTTTCTCTGGGTAGCTAGCTAACAGTTTGAGGAAACAAAACCAGAGAAGTGTGAGATGCCTTTGGGTTTATTTTACACTTTGCTAGGAGTCCAGCTATGTAGGCACAGTCAGGCCCTTTGAAGGAAAACCTACCATTGTCACCAAAACAGTAACCTGGCTGACTCCAACATAAAGGTACACAGAGCAACTCCCCTCGATCCCTTTCTATCTTCTCTCTGCTAGTTGAGCTTGTTGCAGATCTCTAGGGCTTTCTTGTAGACCTGAGTCACATCATCCATGTCTGTGAGGAGGGAAAAACTGCTGTCTCCCAGACGGTTGCGATAACGTTTTAGATACTGTGGCCGTGGGCGGTTCTGAAGTCCTTCGAAGTCTTGGATCTGCAGGAAATTTTCGGCAGAGACACAGCTCCTTATCCTCTGTCTGTTTGGTCTATTCTCATGCAAATCCAGCAAATCAAAGGAGTCACTGGACAAAATACTGTCATCACTAATGACACTGGAAGGGCGACTGTAACTTCGAGGTAGCCCATCCCCGGGCAGGACCACTGCTTCCATTGCGTCCAGTGTTGGTGTATCAGGGCTGATCAAAGCAGCTTCAGGGCTTGTAGAATACTTGCTGTTATGTTTCAAGATGCCCTTACGCCTGCAAGAGTGGCTAAAAGACCCATTTCTGGATGGCTCTGTGACACCTGGAGAAGTGTCACTGTTTACTGTCTCCTCATTATTGTCCAAGAGCTCAGAAGATTCACTTCGTTCTGGAGAAGAGTAGTAGCCGGACTCTCTCTGCTGAGTCTTCTTTAAGATTCCTTTTTTTGGCATTAATGAAGACTGCTTAGTGCCATATTTGCCTGCTACCTCTCCCTCCACAACACTTTTAATGGCTACACCAGTTCTACACAACTCTTGCTCCAACTTAAAAGCAGAAGGTAACACTGGGTTGACCACTCCTTCAATGAACCCTGCACTGTGAGATCGATGTTCACTGTTGCTCCTTTTCTTCAGGATGCCTTTGGGTCTCTTGGAGATGGGTTTAGATGCATTTTCAGCTCCTCCTTCCTGGATGGACTGTGCAATGTCATTTTCCTTTTTTGATTTCTTCAGAGACCTTTGTCTCTCTAATGTAACTTCAGGACCTTTGGGCTTAGAAAGGCACTTGATTTTGGTATCAGTCTCTGGTTGGAGGCCAGTGGAACGGTGATGCCAATCAATGAACCTTGCCAGCAGCGGGGACTCAGAGTCCCTCATAGCATCACAGTCACAAACACTACTCTTGTAGCCCCAGTTGACCCACCAGTGATTGGCAATGTCTTCAATGGTTGCTCGGCGCTCAGGGTTCACCATCAGCATCCATCTGATAAGACCACGAGCATCTGTGGACAAAGAATGGATTATAAAATATTTAGAATGTAGCCGCTGTTGGGTTTCGTCAGTTTAAAATGGAAATGTGAAGACAATACTCAAGTGAACAAAAATAATGCTTCTCACCACAGGAGAAGTGAAAGGCAGCAAGGCTCTGGCCATCAACTTTGGGAAATACATTTGGATATTATTTCTTATCAGAAGAATATGAACCACCCAGGGAAATGTACACCGTGTTATCAAAGCAATTAATATTTGTACTGTTAAATCAGTGAATAGCTCCATAATACTGAAGTATGGAAGAGGAAGTCACTGACCTTTCTATCAACTCTGCTTATCATAAAACTGGGAGTAAAACAAAGGGGAATTGGTGTATTTTACATGATCTACATATTATCACCTTATGTATATTTTAAAGGAATATTTTTGTAAAGAGAAAAACCAGGAAGGAGAAAATAGAAAGAGGTGGCAAAAAAGATGATGAAGGATAAATATCCAGTTAAGCATAATAATATATACACAGATGCTTAAAGCTGGAAGGAGTCATTCTAAACAATGAGCTGGACTTTGCTGATGATTTCCTGTCAGGTATCTAATAAATGCATTACCCCCAAAGTAGAAATAACTGTGAAAATAGTGGTATTTAATTTAGATTTTGGACTGGCTTCTTGGATGACAGACTGCTTCCTTCTGACCATTCATCTTCTCTCTGCTTGTGATATACCACAATGTAGTTAGAGGACTGATCTGTACCACTATGTTGTATCAGTTTACAGCTTGTCTGAACAATTCCACTTGCAATAGCTAACAGATTTCCACTGTCATAGATCTAGTTAAAAGAGCCTGTTAAAGCTTCCCCAAGGCAATAAAATCTATATCTGCTATAAAACTTTCATTTCAAAAGGGCTTTTGGTAAATGCTGTACCCAGATGGGAATTGATAGCAGATGAAGGCAGTAAGGGAATTAGAGAATTTTTTTCTTTGTCATTCTAACATGACACCAAAACACGTTAAAAGAGGCAGGGTAAACCCTCCAGTCTGAACTCTTGTCAGCTCAGTACATTACCCTCACTCTTTTTGTATACCTGAGGTCTGTGTTGGCTCACGATATTCTCCACTGCTGATCTGCCTGATGAGATTTTTGTGATCAAAGCCGTCAAAGGGCATCGTTCCATAAACCAGAGTGTAAAGCAATACACCAAGGGCCCAGCTGTCGACCTGAAATACAGAGACAATGCATGTAAAAGCCAGGAAAGCTGATCCCCACCATCTTCCAAACTATTAGCACTGCCATAGCAGCATCAAGGCCAGCTGCGCTTATTTGCGGCACCCGGGAATCCAGCATCTGACAAACCAAAGTAAATCAAAGCAAATAAAGGCAGCTCGAGAACTACCAGTACGAGCAAGAAGCACTCTAGCCCACATGTGCAACAGTAGTAGCATAAGGCATGTAATGAAAGGCAAGCTATCCTCATAGCGCCGGCAGAAATCTCGTCCTTCTTACCTCTGGGCCTCGGTAAGGTCGTCCATTGACTATTTCAGGAGAAGCATACAGGGGGCTCCCACAAAAGGTCTGAAGAAACTTGTCTTTGTGATAAAGGTTGGAGAGTCCAAAATCAGCAATCTGCAAAGACAATTACACAAGGCTTCTGTAGCATTAACAATAGTTTAATATAATAGAAAATTCTTTATCAGGAAAGAGTTACACTGGATCATGCTGTAGGGCAGGAACCTTGACTTGGATAACCTCTCAAGTTGCTTCCCTGGCCTTTTTATTTAAGCGATTTTATGACATTTCTCTCTAACAATATTCTAGAGAAAGGGAAATATCCCCAGGTTAAATCCTCCAGATTAAGAACAGGGACACTTGGGTTCTATTCATAGCCAGGTTGCTGATTAACTGCATACACATCAGCTGTCCAGGGTGAAGTGCACATATTAGCAGAGAAAATCTTATTCTAGAAGGCACTGGGCCTGTTCACCGTGTATGATCATTAATACCAAGGGAAAGGAATGTATGTTCTTGTGCATGCAAGCCTAGAACCAA